CAGGTATTTTGATAACTGTTGGAGTGGCTAGGATCAGTGTCAGTTACCTCTCAAAGGCTTCTAGATAGGGAGAGAAACAAATTTAGCCATCATTTTATTTTTTTAGGCTAGAACAATAGTGGGTTGCCTCTCTTAGCTGTAAGTGGGCACTACAGTATTATAGACCAAGATTTGAAGTCTTACATCTGAGTAACATCTTATTAGGAATAAAATCATCAATGAGAGATAATTGTCTAAATAATATAAGACATGTCTGGGTTGTGTAATCCCTTGAACCCTTAAAATATGTTGATGACTTTAATTTTGGTTATACTTTCCTTTTGGGTGTTTAAGACCATACTGCTAGCCCAAATAAACCAATTTATTTTTACTCTTAAGGTCATATGAGGATTTGGTTCTCAGGGGTCACATGGGCTTGAGGGGAGCCCCTGGCTCCGCAGGCTTTCTTTACCAGTTTCATCTACGTGAAGATAAGCCAAGAGATCTTTCTTGACATGGGCTTTTCTTGGAAGCATGGAGGAAATGTTTCCTCTGTGTTGACCCTCCTCTTTGCAGACTGTACACTGGTTCAAGTCCATCTTCTGGGGTCTCCATGGCCTCCCTGAACAAGAGGACAGGTGACTCACCAAAGTTACAGGACATTTCTTCAAGAGATGCTCCATAGCCCCTGGAACTTGTTTGACCTTGGAGGGCAAGGAACAAAAAATTGTCCCTTTAAGTCCCTCTGACCAGATTAGTATAGGCCTCAAAGTCTGGCTATTAAACACCCAAGAAGGTTAGTTGCACCAATCTGGTACTTTCAATTACCATGTGCTATGTAGATAGAGCTTGGGCAAAACACAAACATTTTTAAGTAAACCTTGATTAGACATCCTTAAACTAGTTGACTAAGCTATGACCTTAGAAATTTTAAGATCTTCTTCTCATGCTTGATAAATCATAACAAATCTACATAGATCTCCATTATTTGCTTAGGCTTTCTCATTTTTAACAAAATACCTCCATTCCTGTATCCTTCTAACATCTTTTATCTTACCATAAGCTTTCCTGCACCTGTTGACCTCATGTCAGGGGCCGGTTGACTGGCTGTTAGGTTGAGATTCCCTCAGCAGACAGGCTGCTGTGGGGTCCAGTGGGCTCCCTGACTTCTCCTGGGCAATTCTAATCCTTCTTTGAAAATATGTCCATTCTCATAACCTTCCAACATCCTCCAATTTTCCATTTTCCTTTTTTAATAACCATGAAACACAATAACATTAGCAAACACATTTTTCATCCATTGTGAGACTTCTTTTCCTGGGGATACTAAGCAATGTTTTCCCCCCTTTTAGGTTGTAGTATCAAACCAATGTTTGATTACATTAAAGTTTTTCTGGGGAACCAGTGAATTTACTGAGCTTACTCACAGAGATGACTGAGGAGTTGCTGAGGTATATGAGTGACCTGAGAGTATTTACATTGGAAAGCGCAGTGTGTCTTTCCTAGCATTTTTCCTGACTCACCTTTTGAAGTGACTGCCACAGATGCCCTACCGTAAACATGGCCTCTGGCTCTGGAAATGCCATGCTTTCCTGTGTGATTTTTTCTGGCAGTCTGGCAACCTGGCAGGAGCCCACTTCCATATGCAAATAGGGTATCTCACAAAGTACCTATCAGCTAAAGCTTTTACCACTACCCCCACGGTATAAAGTTTCCTGATTCCCCTCAATAAATGGAGCTAGATAGCTAGGAGCTGGAGCGGGGATCACTGAGACTTGGAGAATAAAGAGCTGTACCACTGAATCTGACTGAACTGAGTCCTGTGTCTCCTGCCTGCGATCCAGTCTCCCCGGGGGGCAGTATCCCTCCATCATCGACTCACGGACACCTAGCTTTAGCCGCCCCCGCACTTTCCCGCTTGATCCAGCAGCCGGTGGATCTAACATCTTGAGGAAAGTGCACAGGTGAAATTAGGGCGGGACCCAGCCAGGCAAAGCCCCGGCAGCGGCAGACTTTCAGCACCTCAGTGGCGGACAGCGATGCGGGACGCGACCAGAGAAGCAGACGCCCGCGGGACCCGCCGCCGCTTCCAGGGCGCACACAGGGGAGATCTCCGTGTGCCCCATAGGGAACCAGTGAATTTACTGAGCTTACTCACAGAGATGACCGAGGGGTTGCTGAGGTATATGAGTGACCTGAGAGTATTTACATTGGAAAGCCTTAACCCAGCATGGATCAAGCCTTCTCTTCCTATCCTTTTTCAGATAATATAGTCTTTTCCAAGTCCAGGAGACCATGTGATCAGGGTCAAATACAGTTGGCTGGGAAGAGCAACTGGATACTCAGGTGAGAGTCCAATGACCCTGTTTATCCCCCCTCTTTTAATTAAAGAATACAATTGTCAAGTCAACAAGTTCAATT